ATGGAGTTACCCTTTCAAAGTTCTCTCATGAAGCCAAAGCGGCAGATTTCCTTTCGAAATCTAAAAGTCATTAACCCTGAACTTCTTTCAGCTGATCTTAATGACCACATTCCTGTTTCTTTACCAATCTCCACAAATTCAGTAGATTTCTACAACTCCACCCTCTCCACTATTTTGAACCGCCACGCTCCCGCTAAAACAAGGACAGTTGCCTTTTTGCGCTCAGCTCCATGGTATACACCAGAGCTAAGGAAACTAAAGGCAGCTGGTAGAGCGCTTGAGAGACGCTTCTTAGCTTCGGGTCTGCTAGTCCACAAGCTAGCTTACCAGGAACACCGCAAATCATATGCACGCGCTCTCAAAAATGCTCGATCACGTTTTTACTCATCCATAATCTCCAATAACCCGGGTAACTCTAAGACTCTTTTTTCCACCATCACCCACCTCCTCCAGCCTCGAACACCATCACTCGCCGACCCTACTAATGACCTCTGCAATAAATTCATCTCCTTCTTTCAAAATAAGATCCTAACACTCCGCTCTTCACTTGCAACTCCCCTCACTGCTCACACTACTGGTGTCAACACACTTCTAGGGAACCCTTCCCTCTTCTGGTCTTTTCCTCAGGTCTGTGTGAAGGAGGTTGAGGCCGCTGTTAGGGCTATGAAACCCTCTACATGCGCCCTTGACCCCTTCCCAACAGTCCTAGTCAAGGCAAATCTGGCCTCCCTCGGGCCCCTTATTACTACCATCGTCAACCAGTCCCTCCAGTCTGGTTATGTTCCCTCCACTCTGAAATCAGCCATAATCAAACCCCACCTTAAAAAGCCTAACCTGGACCCTCAAGACTTGGCAAATTACAGACCCATTTCCAATCTCCCCTTCCTTTCGAAAGTTCTGGAAAAAGTGGTCTCAGTGCATCTTCAAAGACATCTACACGACAACAAAATTCTGGACAAATTTCAATCTGGCTTCCGCTCGGCACACAGCACCGAAACAGCTTTGATCCGGGTCACAAATGACCTATTGATCACTGCAGACCGTGGCTCCTCCTCTCTCCTCGTCCTTCTGGATCTGTCAGCAGCCTTCGATACAGTTGACCATGACATCCTCCTCCATCGTTTACGATACCTTGCAGGGTTCACCGGCATTGCCCTGGATTGGTTTAAGTCATTCCTTACAGACAGATCTGAGTTTGTCTCCATTGGACACGCTAAATCATTAAGCCATCCTGTCACTTGTGGTGTTCCTCAGGGATCAGTATTGGGGCCCATTCTTTTTAATCTGTACATGGCTCCACTTGGGCGCATCATTACCAGTTGTGGGGTCTCATTCCACTGCTACGCCGATGACACTCAGCTCTACTTGAAGCTGGGTAGCAATGCGTCTGAGGCCCCTTTCACTTCATCAGCCCCTTCGATATCTACGCCCTTCACTCCACCCACACTCACCGCCTGTCTGGATAAGATAAAGGCATGGATGGAGCAAAATTTCCTTCATCTTAACAGCTCAAAAACTGAAGTGATTCAAATTGGCACTCCACACCA